CAGCGTATGTCCAGCCTGTCACACCCAGTCCTGCCCTGCTGGCCACCTTCTAATTAATTTCCTTTCAGTGTGCACAAATAGGTGCACTGGGCCTCTAGGTTGTTTTGTGTGTGTGTGTGTGTGTGTGTGTGTGTGTGTGTGTGTGTGTGTGTGTTTTAAATAATTTTTAATAGTATAAGAATGTAGTATTGATTTAATAACCTTTCTTAAGTTAATAATGAAGAGTTTTGTTTGATTTTTATTGCAGGATGGAGTGGTTCTAGTCCATTGCAATGCAGGGGTTTCCAGGGCAGCTGCAATTGTAATAGGCTTCCTGATGAATTCTGAAGAAATCTCATTTACCACTGCTTTTTCTCTGGTGAAAAATGCAAGGCCTTCCATATGTCCAAATGCTGGCTTCATGGAACAGCTTCGTACATATCAAGAGGGCAAAGAAAGCAATACGTCTGACAAAATACAGGAATTAGAAGGAGACAACAATTCATGAGTTACATACTAGCAGATGACGGACAACTAGTTTCTCAGTTGGCCTCTATAACCACTTTTCCCCTTTTTTTAGAGAATAGACTAATAAAAACTTGTTTTGTTTTGTTTGTTTTTTTGTTTTGTTTGTTTTGTGAAAATGAAGGTCAATGGATTGTCCTGAGATAGCATATAAATAATTTTATTAAATTATATCATGTTTTCTTTGATATTACAATGTGTGATTAAATGCTTCTTTGATTTGCTAAGGAAGAATAACAATGTATTACCAATAATTGATTTTTGTAGAAGGAAAAATGCTTAAATTTAAAAATCTATGTTAGAGCATGGGAAGGTTAAATCAGTGATTAAGACTTTTCTATTCCAGCAACTGTATCTAGGATGGAAAAAACTTGAAATGCCACTTGACTTACCATTTCAGAAGGAGATAAATTTCTTCATAAATAATTTAAGATTAAAAACCAATACTGTGCCCTAGCTGGTTTGGCTCAGTGGATAGAGCATCGGCCTGCAGACTGAAGGGTTCTGGGTTTGATTCCAGTTAAGGGCACATGAGCGGGTTGCTGGCTTGATCCCCAGTAGGGGGCGTGCAGGAAGCAGCCAACCAAGGAGTCTCTCTCACCACTGATGTTTCTAACTCCCTCCTCTGAAACCAATAAAAATAAATAAATAAATAAATAAAATAAAAATAATTACCAATACCGTAAACCTTCCAAAAGAGGTAAACAAAATGTGGAGGTTTATACAATATTTACATAGTGGTTACAGTATTCACAAAATGTTTATGTCCTTTTGTACCCAGTTTTTATTTTTATTTTTAAAATTTAATTATATACCTGCATTTATTTATAAGTTTTTGTGTGGATTTTTTTTTCTTGCATTATTGTGAGCTTATGGTTCTTAAATTAGGTGCATTGTGTGTTTTTCACCTTGGGTCCCTAGCATTCTGTTTTTTTTAGTCCCAGGCATAATTTTTTTTATCTTCTTGGGTCTGTGGAAAAACATTTTGTACTGAAAATTTGTTTTTTAGTTGTCATTTGTTCAATGATCTGTTTTCTAGTTCAATATCTTACTAGATAACATATTTTAAGGAGACAAGAGTTTGGTTTTATAAGGAAATTTAAATATATTGTTAGAAAGCCTAAAATTATTTACAATTTTACTTGTGGCCAGAGGCTTTGAATGGTTCATTTTTAAAAAATGAAGTTCCATATTGTCAAGGCTGACCTCCACATTGTAAATTTGCTTACAGCCCTAACAAGTTTGGTTCAGTGGATAGAGCATCAGCCTGTGGACTCAAGGGTCCCAGGTTCCATTCTGGTCAAGGGCATATACTGTGTTTGTGGGCACATCCCCAGTAGGGGGTGTGCATGAGGCAGCTGATTGATGTTTCTCTCTCATCGGTTTCTAACTCTCTGTCCTTCTCCCTTCCTCTCTGTAAAAAATCAATAAAATATATTTTAAAAATAAATAAGTAAATTTGCTTAGATATATTCTTTGACTTATTCAAAATAAAATATACTTAAAATTAATATAATTATGAAATGATTTATTTAATAGCTTTCAAGCAACCTTTCATGACTCAAAAAATATAGCCATTAAGATTTTATTAAGAAAGTCAGCTCTTCTTAAAATACATATTCTAGAGAGCTAGTATACTCCCATGTGTAAGTTGGAAGGTGCTCATTGAGCACAGCTGTGCATTTGAGAAAGCAGGCCTTCCTGTGCTGCCAGAAGCAAGCAGACATAAATGCAAATTATGTTTCCAGATTGCTTACAGCTTGATAAGATGCTATCACATGCAAAACTATGAACTTTGCTAATGTTGAGAAGCAGTATAAATGTAATCAACCTGCAGTGAGTTGTGTGAGCCAACCAAGGCAGACAGAATCCTCTTAAATATGAGACTGGTGGTGTTTCTATAGTCAGTATTGCTGAGGGTTTGCAGGGTGAACCTTTTTCATTCACATGAAAGCATATATTTAAACACATTTTCTTTTGCTAGGTGCTGTTTAGTTTTCAGCCATTAAATGTAACATGAAGCCTGAATAGAATTTGTTCATAACGGGTAGTGTATTATTTATGCCTGTATTTTGTGTGCTTAGCTGTTGCCTGTAGTGATCTGGTTATGGTGTAAGCTCACATTTTTTGTATCATCTACAGAAGTGCTTTGAGCATCTGTTTTATTTTATCTTAAGCAAGTGGCCCGTTGCACGAAAATTTGTGCACGGGGGGAAGGGTGAGCGGAGGGGTCCTTCAGCCCGGCCTTTCCCCTCTCACAGTCCAGGGGTCCTCAAGGTCGTCCAGAAGATGTCCACCCTAATTAGCATATTACCCTTTTATTAGTATAGATACCACAGAATGGGTGACTTATAAACAACAGAAATTAATTTCTCAGAGTTTGGAGGCTGGGAAGTCCAAGATCAAGGCGCCAGCAGATTTGGTGTCTAGCGAGAGCCTGTTTCCTGGTTCACATATGGTAGTCTTGTTGCTGTGACCTCACATGGCCGAGGAGGTGCCCTGCCCAGGGGGCATCGAACCCACGACCTTTTTGGTGCATGAGACAACACTCCAAGCAACTGAACCTTTTTAACAGGTACATAATGTTCTTTTGCTTGGCTAGATAAAAATTTATATAGAAATTCCTTCATTGGTGAACCTTTCTTACAACCTTAATTCTAAAAAGGGAATTGCTGGGTGTGGTGGGCTGAATGATAGCCCCCAAAGATATTCCCACACTAACTTCTGGATCCTTTATGAATGTTTTCTTACACGGCAGAGGCTCGTTTACAGATGTGATTATTAACTTAATCACCACCGCTAGTCATTGGAAAGGTAAGATTATCCTGGATTATCTGAGTAGGCTCTAAATGTAATTACTAATAATGTCTTTATAAGAGGGAGGCAGAGGAAGATTTTACTACAGAAGAAGGCCATGTGATGACAGAAACAGAAGCAGTGTTAAGAGACATAGATGTTACTCAGCTGGCTTTGAAGGGAGAAGACAGAGCCTCTAAGAGCCGGGAAATATGGTTAGCCTCCAGAAATTAGAAAAGGCAAGAAAACATTCTCTCCTGGAAGAAACCAGTTTTGCTGACACCTTGAAATTAGCCCCATAAAAGTCATTTCAGATTTCTGGCACCCAGAATTGTAAAAGATAAATTTGTGTTGGTTTAAGCTGCCAATTTTGAGGTAATTCAGTATGACCTCATCTGAACTTGATTACCTCCCTATTTCCAAATAAGGTCACACGTTCACAGGTACTGAAGGTTAGGACTTGAACCTATCTTTTTGGGGACACAGTTCAACCCATACACTTGTAAGAAAGAGAGAGAGAAGAGAGAAGAGAGATTGAGAGAGAGAGAGAGATTGAGAGAGAATAAATTCATTTAAGTGGTTTTAAATTTTGATCTTTGGGAACTTTTCATTTATTTCCGGAATTGTGATTGCCTCACTGAAATTACAAAATTCTTGCTGGATTTGGGATTTCAGGAAACCCCAGAGGAAATAGGGAGGGAGGATGGGTGGGTTATTTTGAGGATCATGAGTTTGGTATGAACCAGAGAACATCCCACAACATATACATGTAGCACATCACTTTTATAAAGTTAGTGAGCAAAACTAAGCAATTTATTTTTGCGCACACATATTTAAAATATGTGTGTGTGTGTGTGTGTGATACTTTAATACACTCTGAAGAAAAGCAGAAAGTTGGGGCCGGGAGGGTAGGAGGACAGTTGGGATCCTAGGGGGAGGATTCCGCGGTGTTTGTTTACTGTTAGCTTCCATTATTTACTATCTTTTGTATATAAGAAAACAGCAGGCATCAATTATGCTCTATTGTAAAACTGTGTCCATATAACACACTTTTTGAAATGGCATTAGCAACAATAGCAAATATGCGCTGAGAATGGGCTTCCAGCACTAAGGCCAGAGAAACGACAATGGGAAGGACACCCACAGCTTCTCCAAACGCCCTTTTCCAGGGGTTCCTTGGATAAGCTGACAGGTGGCAGAGTATGGGGTAAACTCACGTTATTTAAGAAACCGTGACTATAAGCCAAACCAAGGGACATGAACACCAGGGGGGTGAGGGCATGAGGGAGGCTGTGGGTGAGTTGGGGAGGGGGAGTTGATGGAGGGATGAGGACACATATGTAATACCTTAATCAATAAATACATTTTTTTAAAAAAAAGAAACCGTGAATAAAAGGTCTTCTTCGAAACTCAAACACCAAAACATCAGAAGACTCACAGCGCGAGCCAAAGCATCCTGAGCACTGCAGTTCCCACGCGGGTTCTCGCCTCCCCGGTGAAATCTCGCGAGAGACCGCGTCTGCGCAGAGGCCTTTGCCCGCTTCCAAAAGGACGGCCCCGGCGCCCCGAGCTGACGGGCGGCGCATGTCCGGAAGTTACGTCACTCGGCGAGGTAGCGCGCCCCTACCCGCGGGAGCGTTTCCGCCATTTTTGAAAATCGGGAGTTCCCGGAGCTCAGGGTAGCCGCCGCCGCCGCCGCGATGGCAGCCTTTGCCCTGGAACCCCAGGCCACCACGTTGGGTAAGTGAAGAGCGGCCCTTCCTCGCCGGCTCCGCGACCCGCGCCGCCGGCCGGGACGCGGGCGGAACCGAAAGGCTGGAGTCACCGGGCTCTCGCCTGTGCCGGTTTATGTCTCGAAGGGGGGAGCCCTCGGACCGCCCGCCTTGTGCCCCCTTCACGGCAGCCCGCCAGCCGTGCAGGTGCCGGAGACCCCCGCCCCCGGCGTCCCGGACCGGATGCGGGATTGTCAGCGGGAAGGGGCCTGCCCGCCTGCACGTGGGCTGGGTGGGCGGTGCCCCGGAGGCTGGTTGCCAAGCACCGCGCTCCGGTCGCCTGGGCTTGTTCCTGCTCCATTTCATCCCGCTCCGGGCCGCTGGCCGGAGGAATCTGTTTTATTCAAGGAAGTTTGGGTCATGCAACGTTAATAAACCAAAGGATGGCATCCTTCGAGGTGTTGACCTGAATCATAAAGGAAGCCCGGAGTGCGCGCCTTACTCCCAGCCTTCATCTCGGGAAAGGGGCCAAGTGTGGTTAGGGCTTTTCCTCAAGTCAGTCCAGTAATGAATTTTTAAAAATGCATTCCCATTGCTGAACTGTGTCGTTAAAAAAAACCCCAAACAAACAAACAAAACAAAAAACCCAAAAAACAGGATGTCGACTTCCTTTTTGTCTGCCGAGTTCTGGGACTTGGGAGACTTTGTGGACATTTTAAAAATAAACCGTTTACTATAGAGATCTTTTCGAAAATTAGGTTACAAACTTTCTGAGTTTGGGAAGAGAGCAAGCGTGTTGTGTTTTCTGTAGAGTGAGTTTTTGTGGGAGTGTTTTGTTTGCTTTTTTGTTTTAGATTGAAATGGTTTGTAATGCTTTGCATGTTATTACAAAATAAGTTGTTGTTTTTTTTAGACTAGAGTAACGTGAACTGTGTTAGTATTAGCCATAAACTAAATGCATAATGTCAGTGCAAATACGCACTGTGCTACATTTAAATTTATGTACAGCCGAAACCGGTTTGGCTCAGTGGATAGAGCGTCAGCCTGCGGTCTGAAGGGTCCCCGGTTCGATTCCGGTCAAGGGCATGTTCTTTGGTTGAGGGCACATCCCCAGTGGGGGGTGTGCAAGAGGCAGCTGATTGATGATTCTCATCGATGTTTCTAACTCTCTATCCTCTCCCTTCCTCTCTGTAAAAAATCAATAAAATATATTTTTAGAAATTATGTACAGATATTGGCCTAGGTATTTGTGTTTTGCGTTGTTAGAGATCAGAAAACTGCTCATTTCTAGTTCTATAGTTTTCTGCTAAAAAAAATAAAAATTAGACAATAGATGATAATAAAGGTTCAAGTCCACATACTGCAGATATTCTAGGTGAGGAATAAACATTTTCCCAGAACCTAATGGTATATTAAATGTAAGCGTTGTGCCCTAGCTGGTTTGCCTCAGTGGGTAGGGCGTCAGCCTGCGGACTGAAGGGTCCCGGGTTCAGGTCTGGTCAAGGGCACATGCCCTGGTTGTGGGCTCCATCCCCAATGTGGAGCGTGCTGCTGGAGGCAGCCCATCAATGATTATCTCTCATCATTGATGTTTCTATCTATCAATTACTCTCTGAAATCAATAAAAATATTATTTTAAAAATAAGCGTTATCCAACCAGCAGTGCTACTGAATAAGATGACAGTATTTATTTTAGCAATACAGACTGTGAAATGGAAGCTAGCTCTCTTTAAGTGAAATCTAGCCTGAAGGGTGGTTAGTGACAGTCTGATAGTGTTCTTTTTGCCCTTACTACTGTATCACCATATATATCCAAATAATATCAAAACTTTTTTTGACTTGTTACAATTGCTATATATTTTTTCTTCTGTTAAATATTTTTTTTTCTTTTGTTAAAGAAGGTAGATGGCGCTACCTAAAACTTTTATTACTGAATATCTGTTCAGAAAATGCTTTTGGTTTGACTTTAGTGTTTTTTCTTTGGAAATATGTAATTATATCAGAGTAACATAGTAACTAGCACTTTAAAATAATTACAATGTAATTAATAGTTCTTTCTTCAGTATTTGCCTTTTCTTTTCCCTGAATTACTTTGTCTTTTTCCTCTTTTATGCACTTGCATTTCTAATATCTAGGTCTATTATAACAAGATATGAGGAAGCATAAACGTGACAGCATTTGGATAGCAAGAAACACATTTTTGAGGCTGTTTAGAAGTTAAGTAGTAGTTAATGAAGATCATATAAATAACATACAAAACGTTTACTATTTCTAATTGCTATGAATCACATTTAGGCTTTAGTTTGAAAATTAAGTTTTCATTAGCAGAAATTGCATATTCTACATTTATACATTTGTCATTCAGTTTTGGCTATTATAAAATACTGTTATAATAATAACTAATATTTGCTATATATTCAATACTGCGTCAAGTGCTTTACTTGCTATAATTCTAATCAAAATCTGTGAGTGGGCGATACGATTATGCCCATTTTGCTGAGACTCTTGAACGCAGATCTCTGACTCCAGAGCCCATGTTCTTACTGTGCTATTTTGCTTTAAAATTAGAGTAAGTGATTAATAAAACCTAACCTGTAAATTGTGAAAACTAATTTCAAATGATGATTGTCAAGTATCTGTTCTCTTTTTAAATTTGATTTATATCAGGAATACTTATTGATTATTCATAATTTTAAAATACATTATTTTTAAAAATAAAAACATTCCTTTCCAAATATCTTAAATATGTTTCTTTTTTTTTTTTTAATATATTTTATTGATTTTGTACAGAGAGGAAGGGAGAGAGATACAGAGTTAGAAACATTGATGAGAGAGAGTCATCAATCAGCTGCCTCTTGCACACCCCCCACTGGGGATATGCCCGCAACCAAGGTACATGCCCTTGACCGGAATCGAACCCGGGACCTTTCAGTCCCCAAGCCAACGCTCTATCCATTGAGCCAAACCGGTTTCAGCTTAAATATGTTTCTTAATTGGGATGCTAATCATTACTATTATTTCATATGTGCTCTAATGTATACATGATTATACTTTTATATTTTTTATTTTTATTTTTTTAAATATATTTTATTGATTTTGTACTGAGAGGAAGAGAGAGAGATAGAGAGCTAGAAACATCGATGTAAGGAAGAAAAAATGGGACATACAGTAAGCTGTATGTTGTATTTGATTTGTGTAAGTAACTTGTGTATCTTGTCCTTGTTTTGGTTGTTGTATAGTAGCCGACCCAGAAATGGTAAGTTTTCCTGTATATATTAGGGATTTTTAAAAATATATATTTGGAATGTGCCTTCAATAAACATTTTGCTTTAAAAAAACTAAACTCTTAAATTTAAAAATAAGTGTTAACTCTTAAACCTGTGAAATGTTAATGAAAACAGTTGTCAAAGATTAATATTGTTAATACAAAATATTCAGAGTTTTCTCTAAGAATAATTTTATTGGTTTTTAAAACAAATTCAACTATGGTTTTTATAGTAATTAATAATATTGATTAAATGTTCAAACTTATGCTAGATCCTTGTATCTTTTTGTTAGCTATTTTAACATTAAAGTCCTTATTTCTGATTCATTTAGGATCTGAACCAATGATGCTGGGTTCACCTACGTCTCCAAAACCAGGGGTTAATGCCCAGTTCTTACCTGGGTTTTTAATGGGGGATTTGCCAGCACCAGTGACTCCACAGCCTCGATCAATTAGTGGCCCTGCAGTAGGAGTAATGGAAATGAGATCACCTTTAATTGCAGGTAGGTTAATTGCCTAAATTAGTTTCATAGTAACGTCAGTATATATACTAGAATTTTAAAAAGAGTAATGGTGCAACATTCACTTTTGTCAACCCATTTATCAACTTAAAGCATTAAGTAATAGCTCTACTTTTTAATATAGGGTTCTAAGAATAGAGTTGTAAGCAGTATAAACTACAGTAGCCCCTACCCTTATCCTCAGGGGTTAAGTTCCAAGACCCCGGTAGATGCCTGAAACCACAGATAGTATCAAACCCCATATATACTATGTTTTTTTTCTATGCAAACATACCTATGAGAAAGTTTATAAATTAAGTAAAGAGATTAACAATAACACAATAAAATAGAACAAGTCTAATATGCTGCATGTGGTTTTCTCTCTCAAAATACCTTATTAACTGTGTACAGCTGGGATACATTGGACAAAGGGATGTTTCAGGTTGGATAATGTGAGATTTTATCATGTTACTCAGGATGCAATTTAAAACTTACAAATTGCTTATTTTTAGAATTTTTCATTTAATATTTCCAGACTGCAGGTAATTAAAAGTGCAGGTATCAAAATCTCAGTAAAGGAGGGACCACTGTATTATAATTCTAAGAACCACCCATTAAAAAACATTTTTATCCAATCTAAGATGCCATTGATTGTAAAATTCACCATTATTTCACATACCACTAAGAAAAAAAAACAAATACGATAAGATGCCAAGGCAAATTTTTTTTATTAGTCACCCCTTTTTTAGGTGTGGGTAGGAGGGGAATATGGTCATTTAACTTCAGCTGAATTCAACTTAATTAATCTTCAATATAATAGCAAATATTCAGTCAAACCAAGTATAACTTGAAAATTGGTAAATATGAATTCTACTTCTAGTCAGAATTATTTAAAGTTCTTATTTATAGTATGTTTTTTTTTATAGTATGTTTAATGAAAGTATTTTTTTAAAATATATTTTATTGATTTTTTTACAGAGAGGAAGGGAGAGAGATACAGAGTTAGAAACATCGATGAGAGAGAGTCATCGATCAGCTGCCTCTTGCATGCCCCCTACTGGGGATATGCCCGTAACCAAGGTACATGTCCTTGACTGGAATTGAACCCGGGACCCTTCAGTCCCCAAGCCGACACTCTATCCATTGAGCCAAACCAGTCCCGGCTAATGAAAGTATTTATTTCACAAACTGGGAAAGCTTTTTACACAGGCTATTTAAATCGTCAGCATAAAACGATATATATATATATATATATATATATATATATATATATATATATATATAATTATTATTATTATTATTTTTTAATATACCGTGTTTCCCAAAAAATAAGACATCCTCCGAAAATAAGACCTACTTACAGGTTTCCTTCTAACTGAAATATAAGGCATCCCCCTGAAAATAAGCCCCCCCCCCCCATGCTTAACATGAGAGATTTGGTCCACTGATTCTGAAAGAAATGGAGTCACAAGAAATTCATCAGGAAATTCAGGAATTGGATTGTTATGATGATGTTCCAGAAGATGATGACACGATTGTCATTGAATAAATGAGTAAATTCTTGATACTGTAGGATTCACAGTTTGTCTGGTTTGTGTAGACAACTACCGTACTACCGTACCGTATACAGGTAATAAATTTCCTTTATTTTCATTTAACAATAAATGTGTACTGTATTCTTCTTCATGGAAAAATAAGACATCCCCTGAAAATAAGATCTAGCACATCTTTGGGAGCAAAAATTAATATAAGACACTGTCTTAATTTTGGGGAAACAGAGTATTTCATTGATTTTTTTTTTTTTTTTACAGAGAGGAAGAGAGAGGGAAAGAGTTAGAAACATTGATGAGCTGCCTGCTGCACACCCTCCACTGGGGACGTGCCCACAACCAATGTACATGCCCTTGATGGAATCGAACCTGGGACCTTCCAGTCCGCAGGTCGACGCTCTATCCCCTGAGCCAAACCAGTTTCGGCAGCATAAAACGATATTAACTAAGTACCAGTTATATCTTTTACAGGATGCCTTTAACAAAGAAATATTTTAAAAAATAACTGACATTTAATGATTGAATTCCAAATGTGAGATAATATTCTTTTAGTAAATGTTTAAAGATGAACTCTTCTTACTTTAATTGTCTTTAAAGTATTATTTTGTTTAAAGTGGTTATATTATTTATATATATGTAAAAGAGCAGAGGGAATTATAAATTATATTTGAAGTGATTAACTTAATAACATTCTGGACAGATTTTGGGGTTGTTTTTTTGGTATATATTTTTCAAATGTATTAATATTGTAGCTACCATATAGTGAGTACTTATATGAGCTAGGAAGTATGCTAAGTACTTATTTATTTTTTTTCTTTTATCAAACTTGAGGGATAGATAGTATCTAAATTTTTCAAGAGGAAACTGAGGCTAAATGCAATAAAGAAATTGCTGAAGCTCACATGTTACTAAGTGACAGCAGGAGGTTGAAGTCCAGGTGAGTCCTGTTCTGAAGGCTGGAGTTTAAACAGCTTATGCTATACTGCTCAGGCTCAGGCACCAGTCTTACAGAGGAAATGGGCTGCTTCACTGTTTGTCATTGCTGATTCTCTGACTTATAAAGACATTTTTATTCTTTAAAAACTGGCTCTTTTTAAGATATCTTTATTGTGCACTTAAATCATTTTTTACTATGAGAAACATGAATGGAATCTGTTTAATTTTGACAAATTCCACATTATGGGATAATATTTAATCAAGTCTATACAGAATGGAGTTAATACCTACTTTCAAATAAAAAATAGGATCAAGTTTTGTGTTGAAATGCTAAATAAGAATTTTCTAGGGAAAGCAAAAGCTACATGTATTTACTAAAAACTAAAATTTCTATTTACTTATTCTGGAACCTTTTATTCAAAGTGCAATCTGTGAATCACCAGCATTGCATCAGTAGGAGCTTATTAGAAATTCATAATCTCAGGCTCCACCCCACAAGTTCTGAAACAGAATCTGAATTTTAACAAGATCTCCTGGTGACTTTCATGTGTATTAAAGTTTGAGAAGCACTAGGAGACAAGAATTTAAGTCAGTACTTTAAAAAAAAATTTTTTTTAGCAAGCTGCTCCTGAGCAATTTCTGCAAAGCAACTCCCTGTCTCTCAGTTTCCTCAGTTGTTAAATAGCAGTCATTATTAAGTCACAGGATTGTGATCAGGAGAATTAAATTAAATAGTAATGGCAGGCCGAAACCGGTTTGGCTCAGTGGTAGAGTGTTGGTCTGTGGATTGAAAGGTCCCAGGTTCGATTCCGGTCAAGGGCATGTACATTAGTTGCGGGCACATCCCCGGTAGTGGGTGTGCAAGAGGCAGCTGGTGGATGTTTCTTTCTCATCTACGTTTCTAGCTCTCTATCCCTCTCTCCTCTCTGTAAAAAATCAATATATTTTTTAAAAAAATAGTAATGGCAGTATGATTATTTTTTTAAAAATCATATCAGAAAGATGGAAGACTTCTTTGTTTTTTCACCTGACTGTATTTTTTGTACATTGTAGGTGGGTCACCACCACAACCAGTTGTACCAGCTCATAAAGATAAAAGTGGAGCTCCACCAGTTAGAAGTATATATGATGACATTTCTAGTCCAGGACTTGGGTCAACACCTTTAACCTCAAGAAGACAGGTAATACACATACCCTCACGCATATCCACAATTTATAATTTCATGTTTTTAGGTGGCTCTACCATTTAGCTCAGTAATTTGAAATTTTCTGAGTCTGTTGTAGTGTAACTTTGTTGCACAGAATAAGCATTATGGACATTTATCATAGAATCTACTTAAATTGTGTTAATCATGAAATGCACTTAAGAATGTAATAGAACTCCAGATTATTTTTTCGTGTAGGTAGTTCTGTGGTTTTTATAGGTATGCCTTTATTCGCCTGTCCATGTCCCAACGTACTTAATATACATGTAGAAATGTTTATGGTTTAAGTCTTTCCAATTTTTTAAAAAGTTTAATATTTATACATAATTCTGTGAAAGAAAAAGTAAAGATTCAGGGTTTTATCCAGATGTAAAGTACTTCGTAATGATTTGAAATCTTTGTTTTAGGAATTATTTTATTAATATAAGACCACTATCCTTTTAGAGCTTTGTTTGCTATTTAACTACTTTACTAAAAACCACTGTCTCCTACATATTTATGAGCTAACTCGTGGCCTGGTACATAAAATTTGTTCATGGGGGAGAGGGTTCCCTCAGCCCAGCCTGCACCCTCTCCAATCAGGGTCCCTTTGGGGGATATTTGACCACTGTTTTAGGCCTGATCCAACAGGTCGGACATCCTTCTCACAATCTGGGACTACTAACTCCTAACTACTCACCTGCCTGCCTGCCTGATCTCGCCCCTAACTGCCTTCCCTGGCCAGCTTGATTCCCCCCTAAGGGCCTCTGCCTCGGCACTCACCACCATGGCTTTGAAAGGAAGTCAGACATCTGGAAGATGGCCGTTCGACCTGGTCTAATTAGCATATTACTTTTTATTAGTATAGATAGATTATATAGGATAGGATTGCTTAAATGGGGGCGGGGGAGCCTTTTACATCAGGAGGAGATGCTTATATGGCTTATGTTATATTTGAAAAGTAGTATTCCAAACTTAACAAATCTGGAATATTCTGTTTTGGGATATTTTTCTAAAGATTGGTAAGTAAATATGATGTTCAGTTTGGTTTGAGAACCACTGGCTTAAAGTTTATGTTTTTATTGCTCCTCTGACAATACATGAAAAGAAAGGTGGTTTATAGTAATTGCTATGTTTAAAAGGCTATGGGTCATAATTTGTAGAGAATGTTTTTAACTTGAAAGTTGGTTAGAATATTATAATTAGGTTAAAACCCAAATTAGATTTGCCTCCTGAGACTTTGCTCAGCCTCTCTCTAATTATAAATGATGTTGTTATTACAAATTGGACAGTACATTTTGTATCTCTCCTAACATTCTTTCAACATTTGGTTCTCAATGCTAGATGATAAAATCTGGTTGCTAGATTTTAGATTTCCTTAGTTCAAGCAGAATCTGTTTTTTTAAAAGTCTGTATAGCACCAGTTTGTCTCAGTGATACAGCGTTGACCCACAGACTGAACGGTCAAGGGCACGTATCTGTTCCTCCGTTGCAGGCTCGATCCCCAGCCCTGGTTGGGATGCATATAGAAGGCAACCAATCGATGTGTCTCTCTCATAGATGTTTCTCTGTCTCTCCCTCACCTTTCCACTCTCTCTAAAAATCAATGGAAAAATATCCTCAGGTGAGGATTAAAAAAAAAAATCTGTGTATATTTACTTCTAGAGTTTCTTGTCATTCTTGATTTGGTATTGTTGTTTTATTGAGTTTTTACAGAAAGGAAGAGAGAGGATAGAAAGCTAGAAACATCTATCAGCTGCCTTTTGCACACCCCCTATTGGGGATGTGGCCTCAACTAAGGTACATGTCCTTGACCAGAATCGAACCTGAGACCTTTCAGTCCGCAGGCCGAGACTCTATCCACTGAGCCAAACCGGTTTCGGCTGTTGTCTTTGTTTATAGAAGGACTTTTCTCACATTTAAAAGAACTACTATTGATCACGTTGTAACTGTCTACCAGTAGCAGCAAAGGTATGCTGTCTTGTGTAGACTGATTTGAACGTATAATACTTCATGGTCTGTGCTTGTTTAAAAATAAAATTTTGCGCCAAATCGGTTTGGCTCAGTGGATAGAGCATCCGTCTATGGGTTGAAAGGTCCCAGGTTCGATTCTGGTCAAGGGCATGTACCTTGGCTGCGGGCACATCCCCGGTGGGGGTTGTACAGGAGGCATCTGATCGATGTTTCTCTTTCATGGATGTTTCTCGCTCTCTCCCTTCCTCTCTGTAATAAACCAATAAAACATATTTAAATAAATAAATAAAAATAAAATTTTGCCATCTTTTTGTTTTTCTATGTGAGCTCGGTGATTTGAAGAATTACCATTACCTGTGTTAGTTCAATTACTATACCTTAGGAACTAAAACCAAATAGCAGTGTTACTTCCTATTAAAAATAGTATCTTTTTCCCACATGTGGCTTTACTTAATTTAAACCAAAGGTATGATAATGGTCTAGCATATTTTCAGTTAATACTGCTCACCTAAAAGAAAAAGTTAGGGAGTACTGTTTGATAGTGAGCTAGTTACAAGGCGTCTCCAGTAAGTTAGATGTTCAGTTGTCTATTGAATGAAGCCCTTTAGCACTAATTGTGTGTATGTTATGGTTAGAACTTTGCATTTTTACCTTAACACTTTCTTCTGTTTTTATGTAGCCAAACTTATCAGTAATGCAGAGTCCTCTTGTTGGAGTTATGTCAACTCCTGGAACAGGTAAGCAGTGCCTTTTAACACCAAATACCGTTCTCCACTTTTTTGAATGAAATTAATATAAGACCTTAATTGATAATTGCCAAATTTATTTCTATTATATTTCAAACTTGGAGACTTTTTCAAATGTAAGTAATTTCTTTCAGAAAGGAAATACTTTGTATTTTGATTCTTCTCTGAATTTAAAGGTAAGATGTGAATTATATTCAAAATATTAATAATTTAAAAATATACTTGATAATGTCTCCTAAGTAAACAAAAACTATAATAAAAAAGGCCATTGGAATTGGGAAGAAAAAGAATATATAAAAAAGTGAATAATAAAAGATTTTTTGAGAGATATTAATGATATTTATAAATCCGTCATTAACTACTAACAGCCACTGGTTATACCTAGTTTTTTGTTTTTTTTAAGATTAATGGCATTTTTTATCACATCAACATCATCATTAGCACAACTCTTCTTACATACTCATATATTTATAGCCTATCTTAATGTTCATTCAGCAAATAATTGAGCACGTGATTATGTACCAAGTCCTGAGAACTGAACAAAATAGATAATCCTTGCCTTTATAGAGCTTACATTTATTTATAGAATTTACATTTATAAGTAAAATAAGTAAACAGTTTGCTAGAAGGTAATATATTTTATGGAGGACAATTAATCAGTAAAGGGGAATAGGGAGTGAGTTTACAGTTTTTAATAGGATGGTATATTAATTTTCTATTGTTGCCATAAAAATGGCCATAAACTTAAAGGTGGCTTAAATAATACAGATTGATTGTTTACAGCTCTGGAGGTGAGAAGTCTGAAATGGGTCTCGATGGGCTAAGGTTAAGGCAGTCATGGGCGGTGTTAATTTATGGAGGCTCTCGGGGAGACTGTTTTCCTGACTTTTCCATCTTCCAAAGGCTGCCCACGTTTCTTTGCTTATGGCCCCCTGCCTCCATTTCAAAATTTGCATCTCTCTGATCATTCCTCCTAGTCATGTCTCCCTCTCGCTTTTAAGGACCCCTGTGAATACTTAGGGCCATTCTGGATAATCCAGGTAATCTCCCTATTTTAAGGGCACTGATTAGCAGCCTAATTCCATCTGCAACTGAATGCTCCTTTGCATATAATGTAATGTATTCCCAGGTTCCAGGGATAAGGATGACACTTGAGGGTAGGGCATTATTCTGCTTTCTATAGATAGGGGTAAATAAACATTTGGTCGAAATCCTGAACTTAAATAAGGAAGGCAGGGAAAAGTGTCACAGACAGGAAATAACAAGCTCAAAGGCCCTGAAGTGGGAGTGTGCCTAGGGTGTTAACAAAAGAGCAAGGAGGCCAGTGTGAAATAACTGGGTAGGGGAGAGAAGAGTAGGAAATGAGGTTAAAGAGGTAGTGGAGGCTGATGTTACAGACCTTGAAGGTGATTGTAATAGCTGGTTTTTACTTAGAAAAGGCGGGAAACAGATAGAATGAGACTGCTGCTGTGCTGAGAATAGCCTTTGGGGTTAGGGCAAGAGTTGAAGCAAGGAGACCGGAAAGAAGGCTGCTGCATGTATTCAGGTGAAGGATGGTGGTGGCTTAGATATAAAGGAGGCGGGCCTTGACCAGGGTGGCTCAGGTGGTTGGAGTGTTGCCCCATGCACACTCCAAGCAACAGGTCAAGAGGCCATGGTTTGATTCCTGGTCTGGGCACATGCCTAGTTGTGGGCTTGATCCCCAGTAGGGGATGTGCAGTCGGCAGTTGATTGATGTCTCTCTTCCTCTCTCTAAAATCAATAAAAACACTTAAAAAAAAAAAAAAGAATTTAAAATGAACCAAATTAACAATTATATAACACAAATGTAATAAACACCCAGGTAAAACATTATGTCAGAATGCATGACAAAAGCAGTATCCAAATACAGATTTTGGTTAACCAGTTTGTGAATACTTACTGGCAGTGTCCTTAAAGTCCAGATTTCTATTTCCAGTTTGTTCAAAGCTACGTAGGCTTTTTCTGTTATGCTCCTTTACTCACAGCCCAATTCCAAAGCCACTTCCAAATACTTAGTTGTTACAACAGTACCCCACTTGTACCAATATATGTATTTTAAATTGCTGCCATGACGAATTACACAAGCCTTTGACTTAAACCAATACACGTTTATTATTGTGTTTCTATAGGTCAGATGTCTAGACACAATTTGGTTCTTTCTTTAGAGCTCACGTGTCAATAGGGCTATGTTCCTTTCTGGAAGCTGGGGATGAGCTGCCTCCAGACTCATTCAGGGTATTGGCCCAGTGCAGTTTCATGTGGTGGTAGGACTGAGGTCCCTGGTTTTTTGCTGGCTGTCATCTGCAGGTTCTCAGCTTCTCGGTACTGTGCTCATTCCTTGGCTCGTGACTCCCCTTCCATCTTTAAAGATAGCAAGTGGTAGATAAATCTTTTTGTGTGCTTGGTATCTCTGACCTTTCTTGTTAGATCTTTGACTTGACTTTTCTGCCAGCTGCTGCTAATTCTTGATTTTCTGTTTTCAATATTGCTATATTTAAGGTGATTGGAGATGTTACATCTTATCTCTCCCACATTATCTCAATACAATTATATCAAACTTTATTCCTTTTATATTATTTTTATATCCTTATGACTATCTAAAGCATTGTCAGTGCTGATTCAAATATTATAATTTATCCTTTCTGTAAAACTTTTTTTTTTAGTTAATAATTGTCTCTTTCCCCATTTGTCTAATTTTCTATGTGCCATTTGCTCCCTTTTTTTTAAGCAACTGTTCTTTTGCTGTTATATATCTCTGTCCTTTTTTAAATGTTTATATTGTCAAACACATTTTTAAATTTGTTTTAAACTGAGAACATCTCATAGCCTATTTTTGGCTACTTTCTGTTTTCAGCATGGTGTACAGCTATCATCCTAAGACTTGCTTTAGCAAATTTCTAGAGTTTAGCTTTCTCCTAGATAACATGCATTCTTCTTAGTTTATTTCTAAAAATAATGTTTTGATGAAGAACATATTTGAGCAGCTTTCTAGGAAAGCTTGCATGGGAAGTGAAATTTAAGACCTCATTTCTGAAATCCTTTCTTTTTCTGTCTATACTAGATTGCTAACTTGGCTAGGAATAGTATTTTACATCAGAATTTTGGAGGCATCATTCCATTGTCTTCTAGCTTCTAGTATTCTATAGAAGTTATGTGCAGTGTGGATTCCTGAGTCTTTGTATGTGGCCTGGTTTTCAAAAATGTAAGATCTCTGTAGTGAGTGTTCCCAATTTCACAAATATGCCTTGGTTTATTTTAGAGTGATTTTACCTTGGACTTTTCTATTTGTTCTGCTAGGGAACTAACAGATTCTTTAATAGTTCTGGGAAACTTCCCCTTTTTTGGGAAACTTTCTTGTACAGTGTTGATAATTACTCTCCCTCTGTTTTCTTGAAATTCCTTCTAATTATGAGCACTGTATATTTTTTTTTTTTAAATATATTTTATTGATTTTTACACAGAGAGGAATTGAGAGGGACAGAGAGTTAGAAACATCGATGAGAGAGAAACATCGACCAGCTGCCTCTTGCACACCCCCTACTGGGGATGTGCCCGCAACCAAGGTACATGCCTTTGACCGGAATCGAACCCGGGACCTTTCAGTCCGCAGGCCGACGCTCTATCCACTGAGCCAAACCGGTCCCGGCCACTGTATATTTTTTTAATTTTCTACTTTTTCTCCCTTACTTTATCTTTTTATGTATATTCTACATTCTGAGAGCTGTTCTCAATCTCAGTTTCCAGCTCTTATAAAAATATTTTGTCATTTTAATTCCCACAAACCTTTTCTGTCGTTGATTTTTTAATGTACTTAAAAATGTAGCATCCTATTCTTGTTTCGTAGATATAATAACTTACCAGTGAGATTAATTTACCAGTAGTCTTTTTTATTCCTGCTCAGATTGTCTGTTTTCTTCTAGTTCTTTTTCCCATCTCTTATCTTTCTTGGTGAAGGTATGTTTATTGAATGAGTCACTAAAAAGTTACTTGGAATTAGTATATTTGTTGGCATCGACATTGGCGGGGGGAGGTCGGGGGTCGAGAGGCTGTTTATCTCTTATTGGGCTTCACTGTAAGGGGATTAGACAGATTTTTATTTTCTTTTAATTTTTATTATTTTTTATTGATTTCAGAGGGGAAGGGAGAGGGAGAGATAGATAGAAACATCAATGATGAGAGAGAATCATCGATTGGCTGCCTCCTGAACACCCCACACTGGGGATCGAGCCCGCAACCCAGGCATGTGCCCTTAGCCCAAATCGAACCCAGGACCCTTCAATCTGCAGGCCAGTGCTCTATCCATTGAGCCAAACCGGCTAGGGCAGTTAATTAGATTTTTGTTGAAAGATTGTTATTTTATTCTAGAGCCTCCTTTCCAACTACTACTGCATTATAAAAAATAATGAAACTTAGTTTTTGAGGAAAAGGAATCTAAATGGCTCAGGACTCAAGTCCAGTCACTATTTAGTTTTTTTAAATTTTTCTTTGACCTTTTGAGTGTTATATCTTGAAAGTAACTTGATTCTCCAGTCCTTCTTTGTTATGGGTTAATAGTGTGTCATTGTGAGACAATATTAGCTTGTTTAAGAGAACTTTTTATATGATTCTGAGGAAATCATTCTGTATTCATTAATATAAAAATAAAACTTACTCGTAATTCTTTTTTTCTTTTTTAAAATATATTTTATTGATTTTTTACAGAGAGGAAGGGAGAGAGATAGAGAGCCAGAAACGTCGATGAGAGAGAAACATCAACCAGCTGCCTCTTGCACAACCCCTACCAGGGATGTGCCCGCAACCAATGTACATGCCCTTGACTGGAATCGAACCCGGGACCTTTCAATCCGCAGGCCGACGCTCTACCACTGAGCCAAACCGGCTTCAGCTCGTAATTCTTTTTGCATCTCAGCTTTGGATTGGAATAGTAACTTTATTATTCATTTCCTAATAGATTTGTTCCCTGTTAGTCATGCATTTATAAGGCATATAAGAGGTACTTGACACAAGATCAGCATTTACCAAAATATGTGTTTTATTGAGGATAAAATGTCAAGTACGGTACAGGAAATTTTAGGTCAAATGTAGTTACAAATATTTCTTTATTGGATAATCTTTGAAAGCTTTTTATATGTAAATTTTCCATCAGGACAATATAGTATATGGTCTTATAAAACTTTTATCACAGTACCTTTTTTTCCCCCTCTGTAAAGTATCTTTTTTATTTCTTAATAATATACTTTAGCAAATACATTTGACTATAAACACTTTGGAAAGACTTAGAGTGATTTTCAACTCAATTGGGAATTCAGAAAAAATGATAAGGCATCTGGTGCATATGTATAGTAAGAAGGTGTTGAGCAGAGAGCCTTCAGAAAGTTAGTAAACATGGAATTTAAACCATGTGCAAGGTCCTGTAGTACAGTGTTCTTTTAAAAATTGAAGACAAAATTGCTTTTAGATGATAGCTATTAATACTTAGCATTAAAATAAAAACTGAAAACATTTTAAAGTTGTTTTCATTTAAAAATAGTCTGTTTCACCCTGGCTGGTTTGGCTCAGTAGATAGAACATTGACCTACAGACTGGAGGGTCTGGGTTCAATTTCAGTCAAGGGCATATGCTCAGGTTGCAGGCTCCATCCCCAGTAGGGGACATGCAGAAGGCAGCCAGTCAATGATTCTCATCATTGATATTTCTCTCTCTTCCTTCCTCTCTGAAATCAATAATATACACACACACACACACACACACACACATTAAATAAGTAAATAAATAATCTGTTTCATGCAAACATAAATAACCTTTTTAAAAATAAAATAATTTTTCTACAAGAAAAGATTTTCATAACAACAGTGACATTGTTTAATGTTTTCAAACCATATATATATATATATATATATATATATATATATATGTATGTATATATTATTGATTTTTTTTTTTTTTTTTGATAGAGAGCTAGAAACATTGATGAGCTGGAAACATCAACCAGTTGCCTCCTGCACACCCCCCACCAGGGCTGTGCCTGCAACCAATGTAGTGCATGCCCTTGACCGGAATCCAACCTAGGACCTTTCAGTCCGCAGACCGACTCTCTATCCACTGAGCCAAACCGGTTTCGGCTCAAATCCTAACATCTTACTTAAAATACAACTGAATTCTCGTATCTGCTTCTGTATTCTATCTGAATTGATTGAATCACATCAAATAGATTTTAGAAAAGTCCAGTGTATTCTCATGAGTAGGTTGGCATGTTGGACATGTAGACATACTCATTAGTTGGTATCTGTCATTGAAGGATAAGAAAAGAATCAGACATTTTAGATGGAAATGACATGAACAAAAGAAAACTGCATTCGCAGTTAGGGAGTTAGGGTAGGGACCATTTAGTGGCATAGTGGAAAAATAAGGGTAGAACATTATAGTGGAGACCTGGGCATTTGGATTTTGTTCAGTAGGTAATGAGTTTACTGAATATTCTTTTTTTTTTTTTTTTTTTTTAATATATTTTTATTGATTTCAGAGAGGAAGGAAGAGGGAGAGAGAGAGAAAAAAAACCATCAATGATGCCAAAACCGGTTTGGCTCAGTGGTAGAGCATCGGTCTGTGGACTGAAAGGTCCCAGGTTCGATTCCGGTCAAGGGCATGTACCTTGGTTGCGAGCATATCCCCAGTAGGGGGTGTGCAAGAGGCAGCTGATCGATGACTCTTTCTCATCGATGTTTCTAACTCTCTCTATCCCCCTCTCTTCCTCTCTGTAAAAAATCAATAAAATATATTTTAAAAAAGAAAAAGAAAAACATCAATGATGAGAGAGAGTCATTGATTGGCTGCCTTCTACACGACCCCAATGGGGATCAAGCCCACAGCCCAGGCATGTGCCCTTGACCGGAATTGGACCTGGGACCCTTCAGTCCACAGGCTGATGCTCTATCCATGAGCCAAACTGGGTAGGGCATTCCTGAATATTCTTAAGGCAGAGGTGCCATGAGGAAAGGTTTGGAAGATGAACCCGACAGAAGTCTTTGAAATTGACTGAAGATTCTTCTGGTGTAGGCTTAACCAAAGATTAATAAAACATTTGCAAAATCATAAGTAATTTTTTCTTATTAATGACTTCTCAAATTGTATGGTAGTATAAAATTATCATTTCAGAACAGTTGTGTATTTTAAATTATTTAGGCAATTGCCAATTTTTAATAAATTTTTTGCCTTTAAAACTAAAAGCTTTGATTTAAAAATAACCAAAATGTTTATATTGGTAACTAACTTACTAAATATATTAATGTAGGGCAAAGTATGTTTAGTCCAGCAAACATTGGTCAACCACGAAAGACAACATTGTCTCCTGCGCAGCTGGATCCTTTTTATACTCAAGGAGATTCTCTGACTTCTGAAGATCACCTCGATGACACATGGGTAACTGTGTTCGGGTAAGGTTTCTGGATCATTTACCATTAAAACAATAATAGCCCCTTGTCAACATTTTTTAATGAGTTTTCTCAAATATACAAAAAGTTAAAAGAATTGCACAGCAGACACTCATGCCCACCACCTGGATTCTGCACTTAACACTTTGCTACATTTATTTTTGTTGGTGCCTTTCAGAGTAAGTTGCATACATCAGTACAGAGCACCCTGACACTTCACCATGTTTATTATTATCTAGTGTTTAGATTATTTCTCTTCTGTATATTTTCTGGACATTGGAGCAGGGTTGCTCCGTTAGACTTAGGAAGCTCCTTTTTATCTTTCTGGAATTTTTCTACTCAAAGTGGTAGCCTCAGAATTATATCTTATTTCTGAAGTACCTTCCTCGCAACCATTTTTTCCTCCTTCATTTGTTAGCCACCCTGTCTCATTTTTTGTTTTTCTTTAGGGTTAGAAATTATATTCAAGCTTATATAGCATAAAATAAAATTCTAATCCTGAGTGCAGTGAGTATTTTACTCACATAGATTTTAATGTGTGGTGTTACTCATTTATTTGGGGGGACTCAGATTTTTTTATTTTTTCCTAATCCTAGTTCCAGATAACTGAATTCCTAGCTAAGGAAATCCCAGATTTTCAAATTGAAATAGCTTTTTGGACTATATAAGTATTAATTTCTTGTTAAATATTCAAACCATAGAGAACTTGTAAAGAAGAAAGTAAAAGTCACTTAGAATGTTCCCATACAGAGTATATGGTTATTAAAATTTTAGTAACCATCTTTTTAAATGTTTGTGTACGATTGGCACTAACTTGTTATTTTTGTTTCAGAACTAAATTTATGAATTTTTAGGTACTCAGTATATAAGGATATGACTATAATTTTAAATTCTTTCCCTTTTAATAACTGTAGTATACTTAAATATTTCTGTCTCTTTTCTCTATCTCTCTCTCTCACACACACACACACACACAAGCACAACACCCTTGTAAAATAAATAAATAAATTATATACAGAACTGCAACTTTATAATTTTATTCAGAGGGCTGTGATAGTGGTATTGAGAGAATTTCAGAGGTTTCAGAGAAGGAATCTGGAGATACAGTAGAATGGCTGAGTCAAAACTAATCTTAACATTTGTTTTGGGCAATGGGCAGTGATAGATTTAGCTGAGGGGGAAATGCGATGATCAAGAATTTCCTGTGGTTCTAGACCAGCGATTTTCAGCTGGTGTGCCACAGGAATTTTTAAAGCACCCAATGCCTGACTAGTCAGGGGCACTGACCTCTTTTCCATTATTTTGTCAAATAAAAAAAAATGACAATGGCCAGTACAGTAGCCTCCATTGTGAATCAGATTTGTGCCTGTTGGGTTTTTGGGGGTTTTTTTGAGTGTGTTTTTGTCAGATCATCAGAAGACATATATCTTGGTGTGCCATGAGGTGAAAAAGGTTGAAAGTTGCTGTTCTAGACAGTTGGAAGGAATTTATTTTGAAACACTTTTAAGTGTGGTGACGTGCATTCATATTTATTGTCGGACAACTCTCTTTTTCAGGTTTCCTCAGGCATCTGCTTCCTATATATTATTACAATTTGCACAATATGGGAATATCTTAAAACATGTGGTAAGGCTTAATTCTTTTTCAGTTCAAGATTTAGGCTGAGGACAGATATGCCATGACTAGAGGGAAACTTTGCTACTGAATTTTGTTTGCTCCTACTTTTTTTTAAGTTTTCATGGAATATGTCTGTTAGAGTCTAAAAGGCTGGAAATTGTATAATATTTGTAAAAAACAGAAAATAAGCCAGAGAACTAGAATTTCAGGCTTCTCTCCAACACTTTTCTTAATTAGTTTATAGTCTTTTAAAAACATAAATTATGCTAAATATTATATTACTGTTTTCCAAATTGAGCTTGTTTTATTTGAGATAAAGGAAAAAAGAGGCGTTCTTGACTTACAGAGTTCTTAAGGCTTTTTTGCTTATAGAGAGCTTTTTAAAAAAAAAAATCCTTATCCAAGGATATGTGTTATTTTTTAATTCATTTTTTTAAAAATATATTTTATTGATTTTTTATAGAGAGGAAGAGAGAGGCAGAGAGAGTTAGAAACATCGATGGAAGAGAAACCTCGATCAGTTGCCTCCTCTTCTGGGGATGTACCTGCAACTAAGGTGCATGCCCGTGACTGGAATTGAACCTGGGACCCTAAGTCCGAGGGCCGATGCTCTATCCACTGAGCCAAACCGGTTAGGGCTAATTAGTTAGTTTTTGGTGTTTTTTTGTTTTTTGTGTTTTTTTTTTTACAGAGAGGAAGGGAGAGGGATAGAGAGCTAGAAATATCAATGAAAGAGAAACATCGACCAGCTGCCTCCTGCACACCCCCTACTGGGGATGTGCCCAAAACCAATGTACATGCCCTTGACAGGAATCGAACCTGGGACCTTTCAGTCCACAGATGGATGCTCTATCCATTGAGCCAAACCAGTTTTGGCAATTAGTTAGTTTTTTGGTGGTGGTGTGTTTGTTTTTTTTTTAGAGAAAGATAAAAAGAAGCATCAGTTGGTTGCAAAATCAGGTGATGAATACAGTTTTAAAATTTCTATAGCCAGTATTGATAAGACCTTTTTACTAGAAACCATTATCTTTTGAGAATTACTTTATTTTCAGATAATAATTTGTCATATATTCTATATATTAGAGACTTGAGAGCTAGATAGAGATTATTGAAATTGTTTAATGAGATTTATGTTGAGTCCAACTATCGATATATAGCCTTTTATAGTGCATCAAATAAAAAATGGAAACAGATTTATCTTCATATATTTCTATTTTCTAATGTAATTCATTGAGTTTAGATTTTATATATTTTACATTTTAAGAGACAGCTTTATTCTTTGCAGATGTCTAACACTGGAAATTGGATGCATATTCGTTATCAATCTAAACTGCAGGCTCGGAAAGCCTTAAGCAAAGATGGGAAGATTTTTGGCGAGTCCATTATGATTGGTGTAAAACCTTGTATAGATAAAGTAAGCTATTGCTGATGTAAGGGAAATGCCTTAATCCACATTAAGGCACAAATCTAAATATTGACATTGGTGGTTATGTCACTTTGCTTCAGCAGGCCTCTTTTTCTTAGTTTGTAAACTGTGACTATGTTATTGTACTTTTTTCTTGGTAAGCCAAATATGTTTAGCACAAGACTTTAAAATTTAGAGGTAATCCATCCTAACTATTTCATTTTAAAGATAAAAATGAGTTGAAGAGGACTTAAGTAATTTATCCAGAGTTGTTAAAGGTGAGGCCTAGATTTTACTCTAGGTCTCTTAACTTCTAACCCAGTCTCTGGCTTATGCAAAGCAGCATCAAATTATTTAATTACTTTAAAGGAATAGTGCTATTTCAGAATTAAATACTTCACATGAGGGTTAATTTAAATGATAGAAGCTTTTTATTTCTATTTTAAAATATTTAAAATTTATATATTTCTTTACTTTATAAAACAATACTGAGCACAACTTAGTTTTCTTTGTGACATTAAAGTCATCCTGATTCTTCTTTTTTTAATTTTTTTTATTGATTTTGTAGAGAGAGGAAGGGAGAGAGAGAGTTAGAAACATCAATGAGAGTCATTGATCAGCTGCCTCTTGCACACCCACACCCCGGGGGATATGCCCGGAACCAAGGTACATGCCCTTGACCGGAATCAAACCCAGGACCTTTCAGTCCCCAAGCCGACGTTCTATCCATTGAGCCAAACCGGTTTCGGCGATTCTTCTTTTTTTTAATAAAATACATGTTTATTGATTTCAGAGAGAAAAGGAGTAGGAGAGAGAGAGAGAAACATCAATGATGAGAGAGAATCATTGATTGGCTGCCTCCTGCATGCTCCCCACTGGGGATCGACCCCGCAGCCTAGGCATGTGCCCTTGACTGGATTCGAACCTGGCACCCCTCAGTCCACAGACCAACACTGTCCACTGAGCCAAACCGGTTAGGGCCTGATCATTCTTTAAATAAATAAATGGGAAATGTACTACCTCCCAGGGACTGCTTGGAGATTATATACACACTAATGCACAAAGTAAACATGATTCTTGGTGCTCATAGTCTAGGATCACTGTACCAGATGTTTGCAAAGGATAGATGAGAATTTGGGATTACAGGTACTAAATGGCATTGGACTTTAATTTTCCCTTCCCCCAGATTTCCCCAAAGCCTTTTTTTTCTTCTTACTGATTTTCCATAGTGTTTGTTAGGATATTCTTACTCTTATGAATCTGTATCGTCTTGAGGGTGTTTGAAGTTATTGGAGTTAAATTTCCGGCTGAACATTATATCTCAAATGCTAGCCAAAAAGCATACATTGTTTAATCAAGCCAAAAATTATTTAAAATATTACTTAGATCAAATAGAGTATATCTTTTAATAAAGTTTTCTTTGTAAGTAGGATGTAATAATGTATTATGTTTATAACCAGAGAAGTTCTTTATCTTTGTTCCTCTAGAGTGTTATGGAAAACAGTGACAGGAATGCTGTATCATCTTCATCTCTAGCCTTTACACCACCAATCAAGACCTTAGGAACACCATCCCAGCCTGGAAGTACTCCTAGGATATCCACCATGAGGCCTCTTGCTACAGCATACAAAGCTTCGACTAGTGACTATCAGGTATTTTAAGGGTTGGATAAAAAGAATGTACTTTAAAGGTTGAAGTGCTTGCTTAGCATGTTTGACTTTTTCATTGGATTGATTTGCATGCCATTAAATATATCCCACTGAAGTGATTGACTTGATGAAACTTATAAACTTTACATTTTTTTATTTCCTATTTTAAAAATTAGAATTTTGGTCAATTGGAAACTTACCTTGAATTTTGGCATATGTGAACCTTTCTGGCATGAGGGAATATTAAAAAACCTATTAAATAGATAGTTAAATCTGATGGTATCACAATTGAAGAGCCTTCAGTTCTGTTGGAATAGAAAACATTGACCAGTTTTCATTTCAAATTTTCTCATTTTAAAAATGTTTGAAGGGTAAATTTATTTATATTCATTGAAGAATGGTAGGAGTATTATGACTCATCTCAGTATGTTATTGTCCCCTAATTAATAAGGCAGGAGTTCTGAACTTGCCTAGCAACAGATCTGGTTCTAAAACAGCAAATAAAAAAGTTGTCAATTTAGTCTTTTGACTTTCTCTTGAAATTTGGAGATCATTCTTGAACTAGTGACATTTTTCCCCTTTAGTTTCTTTTTTTAAAACAAATATTTTAAAGCCCTTATCTGTAGTAATTTTTGTGTTTCTCCAGTTTTCTAATTTAAGTAGTAGCTGTAATTTGCTTTGCCAAAGGAATAAGATTTTACCGTTCTTAAAAACATAAAGGCCCTAACTGGTTTGGCTTAGTGGATAGAGCGTCGGCCTGCGGACTTAAGGGTCCCACATTTGATTCCAGTCAAGGACATGTACCTTAGTTTCGGGAACATTCCCAGTAAGGATGTGCAGGAGGCAGCTGATCGATGTTTCTTCCTCATCAATGTTTCCAACTCTCTATCCTTCTCCCTTCCTCTCTGTAAAAAATCAATAAAATATATTTTAAAAACAAAACATAAGGACGTCTTAACCAAAGCTATGTTTTAACCTTTAAATATACAGCTCATTTCTACAAATGCATTTTAATGTTTGGCTCTATTAAATTAACCATTAACTCTAGAATTAATTATGATATTGAAGAAAACATAATCTTTAACAATTGTGTTTTTTCAAAATAGGTCATTTCTGACAGACAGACGCCAAAAAAAGATGAAAGTCTTGTATCCAAAGCAATGGAGTACATGTTTGGCTGGTAGCATATTGAGAGCTGAGAACTCAGCCAACTGCAAAGGAAGAGGCTGCTGCACTAACATAGGGCACCGCCGGCTTGTCCTCCTTGGTTAGTTATATAACCGCTCTCGGCGGCGGCGGACAGCTATCTCACTTCTTTTGGAAGCCTTTCTCTTTAAGGAGACAGCGTATTTGTAGCTCCCACTTTAAAAGATGCTTGAGACATGTTTTAAAGAAACAAAAAAAAACTCTGTAAATAGGATTTTGTGTTTTCTGTGGTAATGCTTGTATAAACACAAAATGTTCAACATTGGTAACTAAACTATATAATTGAGTGCATTGAGGCTTTGTAGTCATGAGTTGGTGGGTGAATTTCATGAAGGGGAACTGTACAGCTGCTTCTAACAAGACACAAAGATTGTTAACAATTTGAATTATGGCCTTTTAATTTAGATAGTATTTAATATTTTAATTATCCTTGTTTGTATATGTCTTATCGTGGATTGTCATCCCTCCGTATTCTTAAAACAGTCTTTGAAAAGACCTTCTAATGTTCTTGATAATAAACTTTGCCAATTATATGTATCAAATGTTTTTGAAAGAATGATTTATTATTACAAAAAATTCTAAGTGCCTGCTGAAATAGAGCAAATCTGTCATGAACTGTTACATACCCATAATCCAGCTTTAGTGACCACCAGTATGTTGTCATACTTTTTTTCTCTGCCTCTTTTATTTTGTTGAAAGCATATCTCAAATGTGATGTCAGTTAGTCCAAATACTTGAGGCTATATCAAAAAAGAACATTTCCATATGTGATTACAATGCCAGTATTATACCTACAGAATTAATAATGATTTTTTTAATATCTAATATCCAATTTGTTTAAAATTTTCCCAGTTGACTTAAATGTACTTATAGTTGGTGTACACATGTAATTTGGTTGTTTATCTTTGGAGTGTCTTGAAATCTAAATTAGTCCCCTTACCCCCAAACACACAGCAACTTGTTGAAGGAACCATGTGTGAGTTTCCTATAGTGCCTCATGGACTGAATTTGGTTGTTTTCTTGCTTAACTTGTTCACTATCCTATATCCTACAAGCATGTCAAACTTTCGGCAGACGAGTTTCACATGCTTGCTAGAAGTTAGATCTAGAGAGGATTAATTAGATTATGGGGAGGTTTTTGTCTGTTTGTTTTTTAGCAGGGGTATTTCACATTAGTATGGTGTACTCTGTCAGATGAAATCAAGAGGCACCTAATTCTGATATTCCCCTTTTAATGATGCTCAGGTTGGTCACTGACCACGTGGCAGAAGAAGCCTTACACCTTCATTGGAAAGTCCCCTGTCACGTTTTTACATCATTTTTTAAAAGCATGCATTAATGACACATGTGTAAATCAGTTATTCCATTAAGGTTTGGGATGATGATTTTTCCAAATATATCATTCCCGATGTATTTATCATTTGGAATTCTTTTATATAGAGGAACCTTGATTCATCCATGAATGGCACTATTTGTCTATTCATGGAATACATATGTGACAGAATGGTAGGATAAATATTTAGTCCTTTCTCTTTATTAGTTTTCAGAGTAATTTTTGGTGCCCTAGCAACCTCCATTGGTGTCCATTGGTAATTAAAAATTTTCTCCTTTTTATTATCACTGTGAGCTTAGGACTTTTTTTTTCTTAATTTACCCTTTCAGTCATTATTCATTTGTTCAGATTATCCCCTTTGGCTGGTGAGAACCTCAAGGTGGTTGTTATGTGTAAAGGGAGTTTTTAATTGAAATATATTTCACCATATTACATGTGTCTAGGTAATCTGCATCTTTAATACAGCTTTATAGAGAATAACTAAAATAACACATTGTATGGAAGGTTTTGATATGCTTTTTAAATCCCAGGCAAACTACCATTGAAGACTTGTTTAGTTCTCTGAGATAAAGTGATTCTAAAGAATGTACTGGCATGTATGAAAATCAATTTGTTGTTTCATTTATAGAGTACTTTTCATCTAAAATTTTTACATTTTTACAACTTAAATAATTATATTTCATTACATGCAGAACTCAGTTATTTAAGATAGAACTGGCTACTAAATCACGTTAAACTCGCATTTGAGTTACACACACTTTTGTAAAAAACAAAAACAAAAAAACCTGGGTTTTTTGTTTTTTTATTTTGTTTTTGTTTTTTATTTGTATAGACCTCTGTGGAGCATGAGGTTTATCTGACTAAAAATATGCAATATTAAATATTCAAACAGAATATGTTCGTTTGTTTTTTACTTAGCATTGTATTTTATGTGTCTTTGTACCCATCACAGCATTTATTCAGAGAGTCAGGAAATAACACGTGCTAAGGCAGCATGTTGAACAACTCACACTTACCCAGTGTTATTCTCACTTATGTCCCAATAATAAATAAAATTACTAAAAACCAAGAACAAAAACGAAAAAAGTGCCCTGTCCAGTTTGGCTCCGTGGATAGAGTGTTGGCCTGTGGACTGAAGGGTCCCAGGTTTGATTCTAGTCAAGGGCATGTATGTACCTTGGTTGTGGGCACATTCCCAGTAGGAGGTGTGCAAAAGGGAGGTGACTGATGTTCCTCTCCCATCGGTGTTTTTAACTCTGTCCTCCCTTCCTCTCTAAAAAATCAATGAAATATATATTTTAAAAAACACATGAAAAAAAGCTATGAAATCTCAGAAAGTAAGTTGCCTTACTTTCCCGTACTTTATAAAGCAACAGAAGGAGCAACTCTGAGCTAGAGAAGTTATCCTGAAACAAGTCTCTTTCTAAAAGTTTAGAACAGCTCATTTCACACCAAAATAAGTAACATAAAACTATATAGTCCTGCAAGATTTTTACATCCTCTATCCAAGCATGTCAGAAAGGCATGCCCATAAAGACTGTACCCTATTATTTAAAAGAAGGTTGTATGATGTTTCAGAAATGATTAAAAATGTGAAAGAATACCAAAAACCAGAATACGGAAAATACTATAAAGGGGGAAAATGATTTAGAAATGAAGACTAAACTAGAATAAACACTAAGGCAGATAAACGATAATTCCTTAATGAAAATAGAATTTTTTCACAATGTTTTTATTGATTTTTAGAGAAGAGAGGAAGGTTGAGAGACTATTGACAGAATTTTAAGAAGAGTTGGCTTTAGAAATCAAAGGATTAGTGGGATAATGTCAATTTTAGAAACTTAAAAATATCAGAACATATATATAGACAAAAATTACATGAAAAATACTTTGCTGAAAAAAAAGTTACTTGGAACTACATGTTGAAAGAACACCTGCCTACCTGAGAATATTATACTATATATAAACTGGTTTTGGCTGTGTAGACAAAGACAGCAAGTGACTAAGAAAGCAAGACTAATACTGTACCAGGAAGAATTACACATTTGAGACATTGGGGGGCACGGGGGAGATGAGCAAAAGATTTTTTATCTAACAAAACATTTTTAAGTGTATAAAGATCACTGCTCAGACATTCTCAAATGCAAGAGTATAGGAAGCATCTCTAGTCCTGAGGAGTAGGACTAGAGAACATGTTCAAACAAGGTAAAGAACTAGAAATATGTTGGCATAAATAAAGTCTGTGGTGAGCATTAAATTTGACATCCTATCATTGGACCAAAGTACCAACCAGGTCTATTGCAGGAAGCTCAGCTCACGGGGTGGGTTTTCCCTCATCACATGGACAGCTGGTGGGCTGCCGATGGGGGCGGGGCCACGTGATTGGCCGGAGGTGAGCACGTCATCAGGGGGCGGGGCCGCAATGGGCCAGAGGCGCGCACACATGAACACGATGTGGGCTTCTGTTCTGATTCTGAGGGCGGAGGCAGAATCAGGTGAGGATGGCGGGAGAGGCCAGGCCAAGAGGAGGGGACCATGGAGGGATGGGGCCAGGAGCAAAGGAGCCCCAGGAGCCCCTAGAGGCTGACGAGGCAGGAAGGAAGTACCCTGCCCCAGAGCCCAGCCCTGCGAGGGAACACGGCCCTAGACGCCCTGCTTTCAGATTCTGGCACCCAGATGGGCAGAGCGCTTGTTCCTGTTGGTTCAGGCCTGTGGTCAGCAAACTCATCAGTCAACCGAGCCAAGTATCAACAGTACAATGATTGCAATTCCTTTGGAGAGCCAATTTTTTTTTTTTCTCAACTTCAACTTCTTCTAACGCCATTTCTTCAAAATAGACTCACCCAGGATGTGGTATTTTGTGGAAGAGCCACATTGAAGGGGCCAAAGAGCCGATGCGGCTCCCGGGCCGCAGTTTGCCCAGCACGGGTTTCGGCCAGTCTGCAGCCATCGGAGCAGCAGACTCAGGAAAGAGTGCCCTCCTTTCGGGGCTTTGACCGTGTCCGTTCTGGGGAACAGCTGAGCCCTGGCCTGAGAGCACCTGGCACAGGCCCTGGCACGGAGCAGAGCCCGCTCCCTTCCCGGGAGAAAGGCTTCCCTCCTCTGAAATCCAGGACCATGCAAGCTTGCGAGGGCCCGAGGGCTGACCTTGAGCGGGAGGGGCAACTTCAAAGGGTTTCCACCCCGAGTCCTTTCCGCAAACAATGCCTTCCTTGCCTGATGGCCATGAAGTGAAGTGGGTGGAAAGCAAGCTGCTTGGGGCAAAGTGGGGCAAGGTGGTGCGGTGCAGTGCGTGTGGAGGGCGCCTGGAGGAGGGCACCGGAGTCTCCTTTCCCAGTAGCTCCGGGTCCGGTCGCGGGGAGATGGCACCGCCACGCCTTCCTGCTGCTTGCTTCCACTTGAGCCTGAGCTCCAGCTCCAGCTGCCGGTTCCCCTCGGGAGCTGGCTCAGAGGCGTCTCCGTAGCCGCGGGCCTGAGTGGGCTGCCCGTTTGTGGGCAAGGTACCCTCTTCTATGTGAGTGGCGCGCCTGGCAGGGTGTCCCGCGGCGTGTGGAGGACAGAGCAGAGGACTCTGGTGTCAGAGGCTGCTTCCAGGTCCTGGCCACCAGGCCCCAGCCTGTGCCCCAAAGGGATCTGTGCTGATAG